TGAGACTAGTTCTTATGTTCAAGATAGAGAAGTTTCTCATAGGCGTCAAGAGGGCAGGCAGGCTTATTAAAATGGAAAGCCCTTTGAAAACATTTAAATGTCTGTGTAAAGATTGCTGAAAATAGGGGACTCAGTATATAGCTCCGTTGGCAGAGTGCTTGCCTTGTATCCACAAGGCCCTGGGTTCGATCCTGGGTTTGATCTTCAGCACCACACACACACAAAAACAAACAAACAAACAAACAAACAAAAAAATGAATACTGAAAATAATTGGATATTAAATATATCAATTCCTTTGCTAATACTAAAGAAGTATTCCTAAAATTAAAAAATTGATTGATGAATGTCATAACAAAATTCAGTTGAGTTTAACATTTAAATAAATGTTTGACTTGGTATGTAGTTTGAGAAAGGAATTCGTAACTCTAAGACCAAATCAATATATTTGTTTTATATTTTTCCTTATTCTTCTAAAGTGGCTTTCTCTCTCTCCCTTTTTTTTTTTTTTTCGGGGGTGGGGGATAGGCCGGGGATGTTGAGGATTGAACCCAGGGCTTTGGGCATGTCGAGCACTTGTTCTACTGTTGAGGTATACATGTACATCATAATGTGGGTTATTCTAGCGCCCCCCCACCCATATCTTTTAATTCTTAATGTTATTTATTTATTTATTTTAGTGATACTGGAGATTAAACCCAGTGCTTCCTGCATGCTAGGCAAGTGTTGCACCTCTGATCACTGCCCCAGACACCTTTTTAAAAATTTTATTCTGGGGCTGGGGATGTGGCTCAAGCGGTAGCGCGCTCGCCTGGCATGCGTGCTGCCCGGGTTCGATCCTCAGCACCACATACAAACAAAGATGTTGTGTCCGCCGAAAACTAAAAAATAAATATTTAAGAAAAAAAAAATTTTATTCTGAGGAAAAGTTTTGTTCAGTTGCTAAGGCTTGCCTGGAACTTCTGTTCATCTTATTCAGCCTCCCAAATAACTGGTATTATGGGCCACTAGCTGGGATTATTAAAACTCCCAGTTTTAATCTGATTTTTTTTAAATAATGAAAGTATTTACTTTTTCTTTATCCCAATTGGTTAAATATGTGTTCAATTTGTGAGTGAACCCATCCTTTGCTTTTGGATTATTTTTCCGTTTTCAGAAATAGAAGCCATAAGATTAAAAAAATGCGGCTAAAAAGAACAAACATACTTCCTGTAAAAAGTCTCTAGAAATGAAGTCAAAAGATAAGAAATTGGGAAAAAATATTTATAACACTACCAAGTAAATGTTAATCCTCATTAATATATAAAAATCTTCTAAAACATTAAGTCAGGAAACTCTAGTTAAAAATGAGTCATGGGGACTTGGGTTGTGGCTCAAGGGGTAGAGTGCTTACCTAGCATGCCTGAGGCACTGGGTTCGATCCTTAGCACCTCATAAAAATAAGATAAAGATATTGTGTCCACCTAAAACTAAAAAGTAAATATAAGGGGAAAAATGAGTGAAGGCATGAATAGGTAGTTCACAGGAAAACAAATGGCACTTAAATGTGAAAGAATATTCAAGTTTATTTTAAGAGAAGAGTAAAACAAAAGCACAGAAAGTTAATATTTGAGAACTTTGTGTGGAGGCTGGAAAGATTGTAGAATGTTACAGTGCAAAAATATGAACAGCATTTTTGACATTTATCAGAATTAAAGTTTTCTATTTTTTTTTTATCTAGTGATCTCAGAATGATCCTATATATCTGCAAATTTGATACAAAAATTTCATATGTAATCTTGGATTTCTTTGTGTGTGTGTGTGGGGGGGGGGGGTACTGGTGGTTGAACCTAGAGAGGCATTCTACCATTGAGCTTCCTCCCCGGGTCTTTTGATTTTTATTTTGAGAGTGTCACTGGGTTGCTCAGAGTGGCCTCAAATTTGCTATCCTTCTTCCTCGGCGTCAGTAGCTGGTATTATAGGCATGCATCACCATGTCTCATTGGATAACATTTATCAAATGTAGTAAAATAATGAAAGATAAGGAACAACCCAAGAGACTGGATAAACTGATGCATTCACACAATGGAATACTAGAATGCTGTAATATTCAGTGAGGAAACAGTCTATGAAATAATAGGAAATTTAAAGAACATTAATTGAAAAACGTAAGGTGTGTAAAAGGTACTACATAAAGCTTCCTTTCTGGTGGAAAATGGATGAACTATATGTGTTCAGGGATTTTTAAAAAAATTGATACTGCATTGTGAAAATAGTCATCTTTAAGTGCTGGGATAATGGGGCAGGTATATCCAGGGTAAGAATAAGAATTGTTTTTTGGTACATTGGATTGAACCCAGGGGTACTCGGCCACTGAGTTATATCCCCGTCCCTATTTTTTATTTTATTTAGAAACAGGGTCTCAATGAGTTGCTTAGCACCTTGCCATTGTTGAGGCTGCCTTTGAGCTGGTGATCTTACTGCCTCAGCCTCCCAAGCAGCTGGGATGACAGGTGTCTGCCCCCTCGCCTGTCATAAGAATTTTCTATGTACAGTTGGAGTTCTTTTGGTAGAAGACTTGATATACCAGTATTTGTAAGTTTCAGGTGATTTGTTTCTTTTTTTTTTTTTTGCGATAAGTATGCATAACATAAAAAAATTGCCATTTTTACATTTTTGTAGTATAATTCATTGGCATTTTTCTTTCTTTCCTTTTGTTTCCTTTTTTCTTTCTTTTTTTTTTTAGGTCTGAGGATGGAACTCACAGCCTCACCCATGTTAGGCAAATGCTGTATTGCGAAGCCACATCCCCAGCTCTTTTTATTTTTTATTTTTGAAATGTGTGAACATATTACTTACTTTAAAATAATTTTCTAAGAAAAATGACATAATGCTTTTTATTTATTTTTTCCAGTGCTGGGGGTTGAACCCAGGGCCTTGCCTGGTGGTCTACCAATAAGCTTCATCCTCAGCCCAATACCTTTAATGTTTGCTATAGTATTTCATATGTATACTACTATATGTTTCTAAGGTGTATTATGTATAAACAATTATACATAATAACATACTTTTTAGTAGATTGGATGAATCTCTTAAAATCAGTGAACTTCTACCATAGTCATAGAGGTCAAAGTGTCATATATTTTAGAATTTGTAGTGATTCGTTTGCTCTGCATTAATACTTGGGGGGGGCGGGCTGTGTTAGGTTGGAAAAATTTATGTTGGTCTGCTGTTTTGCATTGCAATGCTTTTTTTGCACTCTGATTTACTGTCAGCTTGGTAGAGATTTGGTTGTGGCTGCCACTATGTAAATTCAAAGAGGATGTCAACAAAGGATTTTTGTCCTTTGGAATGCTGTGACTCCAGCTCCTCTAACTGCCTGATACATAGTAGATTCATAGTAAATGTTGAATAAGCATAAATAATGGATCTCTTACCATGTACATAATACCCTGCATATCATCCCATAAATGTAAATAGCATGTTATATATGTCTCATATGTTCATTTTTAGGTACTTGTACTAGTAACTATGTATGATAAATTTTTCAGTAAATGGTATGCATATTCAAAAATTGGATTTGATTACCCTTTGAAAATGTACCAATTTTACTGTCCCTCACAGATTACATATATTTTTCAAATCTATACTACATGCAAATGGTAAATAGTATAAAATTCAATTTTTATAAAGTTGATCTAGGTGTAAATTTTCTTCCCAATCCTGATTTCTTAGTCCTCAACATTTTTTCCTTTTCCTCAGATTATATGTACTATTAATTTCATGTTTCACCTTTCACAGATAGTTTCTGCAAATACGACAATAGTGTTATTATTAAGTCTACATATTATAGAAACAGTAACTTGATAGGAACTGAAAAGTAACACTTAAGTCCCATTTTTGATAGTGATATGTAAGGAAAAATGCAGGAGTAAATATATGAGTAATAATATACAATAAACAAGTCATTCATACCAACCATGCAGGGATGGTTTAATTTTAGGAAATCTGTTAGGTCAGAGGAAAATAAAATTATATGTGTAGTTCTATAAATGGAATTTCTTCTTAATACTTTTATTATATAATTCATTTTTAAGTCATTGATCATTTGGATCTTATTTTGATCGCAGCAGCTGTATGAACTTAAATTGTCAAGTGATTGGACCAATGTATCAATTACTGTTCATCTTTATAGCTTTTGACTTCCTTACTTTAAGAGTTTACTAAAGTCATCTTCATCTTGAATGTTTTCACTATTGTGTTTTGTGTTAATTCTATCTGGCCCTTTTATCTTTCCCTTCTACTACTTTATGTCTAGCAACTGTCCTATAAGGTTGTCACATATATGGATCTTTCTAGTAGAATTTACCTATAAAAATTAATATGTAGTGAAAAAAATAAATATGTAGCAGGATTATTTTAACTATAATGTTTATAACAGTAGCAGAGCTACATTAAAAACTGCATTTGGTAATATTTCATGATCTGTGCTTTCTTGCATGCCAATTGCTGCAATTTTTTTTTTTTTTTTTTTTGGTACTGAAGATTGAATTCAGGGGCACTCCACCACTGAGCCACATCCTCAGCCCTATTTTGTATTGTATTCAGAGACAGGGTCTCACTGAGTTGCTAAGCCCCTCTCCTTTTTGCTGAGGCTGGCTTTGAACTTGAAATCCTCCTTTCTCAGCCTCACGAGCCACTAGGATTACAGGTGTGCGCCACCATGCCTGGTTGCAAATTGCTTTTGTTCTTGGTTGAGTGATAAATAATTTTTATGGGTTATGTCATGACCATTATATTCATAATGTTCTGCTTTGACATGGGTCTTTCCATGGCTTAAATAAGACCTCTTTTTCATACATAAGTCTTTCAGTTTTATATTTTAAGTAGCATCAGTTTTAGCATTTATCGTGACTGGACTGAATGTCATAATATTTGGCTCTTAGTTTGAAATGAAAATGTGTAGATACATTATTTATGTAATATGATTTATCTAACAGTTTACTTATTAACACGTCTTTAGGTTGTCCCTTTCACAAATAATGGTGCAATGAAAACTTGATCCGTGTGTCCTTGTGTGAGTATTTCTAATAAGATTTCTATCTAACTAGAATAAGATATATTCCATGCTTGTATAATTATATCCAAATGGGTTCTGCTCTTAGGAATAACTAAAAAAAAAAACAATCAATTTTTAAAAATGCCAAAAAACCCCCAGACAAACCTAAAACAAAGATTTCTATATGATGCATCTTTGGAAAAGCTGGTAAAAATATGAGCAGCTTTTATTTATTAAAATTCCTTTCACATTGCCTTCCCCAAAATGTTTTAATTTATACTACATAGTTTTTACCTAACCCCTTTATAGTTGCTTAAGAAATTTCCTTGTGCTTACCTAGAATGCTTAAGGCCTTGGGCTTGATCCCTGGCACTAGGGGGAAAAGTAAAAGAAAGAAAATAAATTTCCTTCAAAATTACCACAATATGGGACATTTAACGGGTATTTTGACAATGTATCACATAACAATTTCTCCAAAACTTCCCTTGCAGAACGATCTCACTGGGAAATTATAAATTTCATTCACTTTATTTAATTTGTAAAGTCTAGTTTTTAGCACACAGAAAAGTCAAAATTTGTGTTATTTATTGGTTAAGATCGGTGGGAGGTTGGATGTTCTTGTTCTCTTTATTTAACATTATGTTTCAGAATAATATTTGATATATGGAAAAGTTACAAAGATTGTACAGAGAATTCCCATTACATTAGTCTGGTGCTTTTGCCACTTCCACAATTGCCCCTCATACCAGCTCTTGATAACCTCTAGTATATTTTAAAATTTCTGTGAATTTTCTTATTCTAGGTACCTCATATAATTGGTATTGTGTTCTCCTTTTGTGTGTAATTTCTCTTAGCACAGTGTTTGAGGTTCATCTCTGTTGTAGCATGTTAGAACTTCATTCTTTATGATGGCTGGAAAATATTTCATTATTTTCATGCCATTTTGTTTATCTATTGGTTTTGTTTATGTACTATTGTTTATATATATGTCACATATACATTAGTATAGATGTGTTTATATAAAGCATTTTGTTTTTCTGCTATTTATGGCTAGTGCTGCTTTAGAACATACATGTAATGCTTTTCTTTTTCTTTTTCTTTTTTGGTACCACTGAACCGCATCCCCAGCCTTTTTATATTTTATTTTGAGACGGGTCTTGCTAAGTTGAATAGTGCCTCACTAAGTTGCTGAGGCTGGCTTTGGACTCCCAGAACTCCTGCCTCAGCCTCCCGAGCTGCTGGGATTATAGGCGTGTGCCACTACTTTCGGCTGTAATGCTTTTCTTAATTGTTCCCACATCTTATTAAGGTAATTAATTTGGTGTAAAGTGTATATTAGAGAATTATTTAACTCTTGGAATAAAAATTTGAAATCGATGCTGACCTATTAAGATACAACTTTGATCCACTGTAATTATGAGGTAGTCATATCAGTATTAGTATATGTTATCCAAAAATTAACACGAACATTTTCTTATTCTGGATATGATATCTTTGGCATCATTGCCTGTTCTTCTTGATTAAAATGAAATAATCTTATTGAGTAAATAGTGGTATGTAATTTAAAAATATCGTCTTTTAACTGTCTTTAATATAGTTAGGTGTGTTCTGTAAAATTGATGTCAACTCCCCGAATCTCTATTATTTTCTTTCCTTTTTTTCTTCCTGTTCTCTGTATTCTCTTGAGGGCCTCTAGTTAATTTCTGTAGGGAAGAATATGTTTAAATCTATATCTGTCTCTCAGGTTTACATGGATTCTTTTTCGTTTACCCCAATATACTATGTCTAAAAAATTATAATAGATATAGTTACTCATTTTCAAAAATTTGAAAAGGAGCATATCACAATTAATGAAAGCATTTGTAGAATCTCATATTTGTACTGTATTTCTTTTTAATGTGTACATATCATTAATGTTTTAAGATGGCTCTTATGAGAAAATTTTCCTGTCTTTAGATATATGAGTACATAAAGATATCTTAATTTGGATCATGATTGATTTATTTAGAACATTTCCATCCTTTTTAGTCATTGGGAGAGTTTTTAGTTTGAATATAACAGTGCAGTTAGCATACTCATTGAAAACATGTTTGTATGCATATGTCCCTGACAGTTTCTTTTATTATAAACTGAAGTTATTAGAGACTTGGTTTGACTTTTTTTTTTGGTATTTATTTATTTATTTATTCGTTCATTCATTCATTCATTCAGTGTCTTGAATACCTGAAGAGAGTGAGGAGTAATTGCCAGGGGTAATTAGACCGATATTAAACAGATATTAGTCACATATTCACACTTCATTCCTTCACACTTTCTTCATTCTTCCTACTGAAACACATAAGCTTCCTGTGCCCTGCTATTATGCACCATTCTTTGCCTTTTGTTCAGCACTTTTTGTTTACTAGGATTGGGTTCTGTTCATTTCTCTTTTATTGGATGATTTTCATTTTTTTCTCATTGTGCTGGAGGTTAAACTCAGAGCCTCATCCTTGGTAGGTAAGCACTTTATCACTGAACTATGTGCCTTGCCCTCACTGGATAATTTTAATGAATTTTAGTGTTTGCAAGATGATTCTGCCCTCTTGATCTGCTTTTCCAGCACTTTGTACCAAATACAACTGCATACATTCCTTCACATTTAAATACCTATTAATCATATCTCATCTACTTGTTATGTTATAGATAACAGTGTTTTTTTGTATAGTATTGTTTTTTATATTATTGTCTTTTGATAATGATAGTGACCATTACCTGAGTACACTTTAAGTGTTTAACATGTGTAATAATGGTTTTTATGGAAGTAAATTCTAATTTGATCTCTTAATTTTTCAGATCGGGTAATTGAGGTCAAATACACTCAGTAACATTGCTCCCAAATGTCAGAGTGAAGACTCTCTCTCATTATCAATGATGCTTAAGTTGGAGGTAAAAGTGAGGTCCTCTTCAATTTCTTGTGATGATTGTGCTTCTAGGAATATCAGCAAAGGAGAAACAGAAAAGTTTATAGCATAGTAACATTATGATTAACTGCTAGTAGAACACTTGAATGTATCGATTATCTCCACATTTGATTTTCAAACCAGGCAAGTACATACAGAAGTGACCTTTATTGGGTGTTTTGTTTTGTTTTAGTACTGGGGGTTGAACCCAGGGATGTTTTACCAATGAGCTAATACCCCAGTTCTTTTCATTTTTATTTTGAGACCAGGGCTTGCTAAGTTGCTGAGGCCGACCTTGAACTTATGAACCTTCTTGCTTAGCCTCTTGGTTATTATAGGTGTGTACTACCTTGCCTGTAACAGAAATAACCTTTAAAACGCCATTTCTTCCTCAATGTTGGTTCATTTTTTAGGAATAGTCAGACCTGTAAATAATTCTAATTGTGTCTAATTGATTCAATCATCTCACCAACTCCAATGTTAACTGTTGTTTTCATTACATTTCAAAGATAGGACATCAAACAAATGGAAGTTTAGAACTTGGTCAAGAACGGCTAGCTACTGTAAGCCATTTTTGAACCCATGTCTTATGGAGCAAAAGCACAACCTTTTTCTGTTTTTTTTTTTTTTTTTCCCCCCTGAGCGGTATTGGGATTTGAACCCATGGCTCATGCATGGTAAGCAAGCGCTCGACCACTGAACTGCATCCCTAGCTCCTCTTTTTGAAAAAAAACTTCAATATCAGGTTTTGGTAAGTTGCCCAGGTGACCTCAAACTTAGTCCTATTGCCTCAGTCTCCTGAATAACTGGACTGATAAGTAACCTAATTCTTAATTGTTCCAGTTGTTGTATAGTGTCATCTTTGGACTTTTCTAGAATCCCTTGATGTTGCTGCTGTTTCTTCTCATGACGAATGTCTCTTATAAACACGTTTTTGCAGCTTAACTTCACTCCATGTAAGAATCTTTTTAACATGAGACTTGTTCCATAGGGTTCCATTGGCTTTGCAAGTTAGAGGATTGCTTTTTGATTCTTTCGTTTGGCTATTAAGACAGATTCTTAGAGGAGTTTACCTGCCATTAAGTCAGCTGTTTTGTCCTAGATGTTTCTTTCCACATTCAGTTCCCTTTACCTTCAGGTCTTCAGCCTCCATTTAACTTCCTATCTTATGCACTGAGCATTGCAGAATTATGTCAGATGAGGAATCATTCCATCAAGTAACCGGGAATATTGCTGTGAAGAGGTCTGTCTTTTTGTAAGAGGGGTGAGTTTTAATTCATTTAAGCTATAGAACAAGTCATAAATTGTAATGCATTGCTTAATTGTCTTATTTATAAAGAAAACCCATTAATAATATAACTATTATTCCAAACCAAACATTTTATGTCTATGTACCTGTTTATTATTATCTACTCTAGGCCTTGTACATAGTCTCTTCTCCACATCCTCTAACGATTTTATTATTAATATTAATATCACATACATTGTACAGATAAGTGTGAATTTGAGAGGAAATAATTTGGACAAGATCCGAATGCCCCTGCCTCCCTCCTTTTTGTACTAGAAATTGAACCCAGGAGTGCCTAACCACATCCCTAGGACCCCCTCCCCCCCCTTTTTGTGGTGCTGGGAATTGAACCCAGGGCCTTGTGCATTCAGGGTAAGCACTCCACCAACTGAGCTATATCCCCAGCCCCCCTAGCCCCTTTTAAAAATTTTATTTTGAGACAGGGTCTCACTTAGTTGCTTAGTGCCTCACTAAGTTGCTGGCTTTGAACCTGTGATCTTCCTGCCTTGACCTCCTGACCCACTGGGATTACAGGTGTGCACCACCACACCTGGCTCAGAATGCCTTTAAGTTATGGTTTATATTTAAAGGCCCAATTCATAGCATTTTATATAGCCCAAGGAAGCTTCAAATTGTTTAGAATGTAACTAAGGAAAAGAAGTGTGGATAATCTTCATATACTTAAATTTCCCAATATTTGCCTAATAAGATTATATATAAATACTGACATACTGAGAGAGTGCTCCGTAGTGATTTAGGGAGCCCTTGGTAGGTTTCCCCCATTTATCTTTTTTTTTTTTAATTTTTTAAAATTTTTTAGTTGTAGTTGGACACAATACCTTTATTTTATTTATTTATTTTTATGTAGTGCTGAGGATCAAACCCAGGGCCTTGCATGTACTAGGCTAGCACTCAACTGCTGAGTCACACCCCCAGCCCTCCCTCATTTATCTTTAGCCTGATACAGTATCTCCAGAGTCCTCTCATTATCCCAGTGCCAATGGAAGTTAGAAGTTGCTTTGTTTCACCCTGAGCCCTGAGCAATGCCAGACATCACAGATTATAATCATTTACTGTGCCATTGGATGCCTAATGTCCCCTTATACTAAACCTTAGCTGGGAGGCAATTTCCCATATAGTGAGTAAGGTGGTATGACAAGAGCTGATTTGGCATTAGACTTTGACATTTTGTGCAGCCTTCTGCTTCTTCAGAAGACCTGTTGCATCTTTAGAAAATTGATCCAAGTACTTTGGGGCCACTGCTACCCCATGTTCTGGGTTTGGCAGTACCCTTACAGAACCTCAAGGTAAAGGGTATGTGGTTTGAGAAGGGAAATATGCAAGTCCATAGTGTATGGTATGAGCTCAACAGATTACCTGATTAGGCCTCATCAGTTTTTAGGTGTGACCACTGAGACCTGGGGTTTAGTGTGGCGTGGCTTCTGTAGGCTTCTGAGAAGTAGATTCAGAATTCAAGCAAACTGCATTAGCCCATCCGATACTTTTCCTTTTTGAAGTTGAAGGGTTTTAAGAGTCTTAACTTCTCATTTATTAAGTAACAGAAGGGAAATAGTAGGAGCCAGATAGTGAATTGATAATATGTGGGTAGGGAGGATAGCTAGGGGTGGGAGCCTAAGGATTTGGGACAAGAGGGAAAGATGATCCATCTGGAATCTGTTTCAGAGAAGAAAAAGCTGCATAGTGCTTTGAAGACATTGAGCATCATTCCAAGAAGAAACATGATCTCAGCAGTCATCTTCAAATCACCCCCAATCCTGCCCCCATCTTGTTGAGAAAGCATAGCCCCACTTTTACCTATTTAATGCTGGTTTTATATATTTCGTGTGTGTGTGTGTGTGTGTGCACGCACGTGCAGCAAGCTGAAACATTGAGTAAGGGAACATTCATTTAGTTAGCTAGAGCAGAGTAGAAGGGAGTGTTTTTCTTTGTTATTGGAATGTGGTGCCAAGGGAAGCAGCAGAGGGGGAGGTACTTGGGAAGGAGCAGCATGGGGGAAGGATGCATATCCTGTAGAATCAGTGGTCACAGGTTTTTATAAAACATCAACTGTTCCCCACCCCACCCCCAGTGATAGTTGTAGTTCTATTGCCTAGCCCTATCTAACAAGTATTGTGGTTAGTAGCAGTGACTTTGAGGAAAAAATTACTCTTTTGCAACTTCCCATTTCACTTCCAACTTGGTCAGTATGCTAAGTAAGAAGTTCCAAGTTGTGATGGCAAAATTATTATATCCAGACTTACTCTCTTCCCCTTCCCTAGCTTCTAGTGCCTTATTTGGTTTGATGTGCTCCTGTGTCCTATCAGTGCTTTCTGAGTACTTTTATGTTCAGTTTCTGGGTTGATGGGATAAGAGAGAGAGTAAGGCTAAAATGGGGAAGTTGGGCTTTGTTAAAATCTTAATGATTTCTTGTGGATTTCACATTTCAGAAGATACTATTATACAACTAAAGATATTAGGGACCCTCTGCTTCAACAACTTGGCTTTAAGTATCCCTCATTTCCCATGTTTTACACTTGATATGTTTAAGAAAAGTTAACTGAATAGTTTCATTGATCCCAGAACTATATTCACCCCAAAGAGGAAGCCAATCCTTTTCAAAAAAGACGCAAATACCTCCATAAGATGATAAATACCAATGTCCATTTTCTCCCCAGGGAATAGTACACCATTTAAACTAGGCCCTTAGTCACCTATATGTAGTACCGGTGAAACTCCAGGTGTCCCTTTTTATGGAAACTAGAAAGGGTATCTTTATCTTAATCCTGCTTCTCAGAAGCTTCTGCTTTGCACTGTGGGGCAAGTGCCCCAACACATGCTACTATTCTGATCTCTTCATGTTTATTTTGGGGATTTGTTGCATATTAGATTTTAAGTTAGTACAGTAGTGCAGTTTGTATTTTGAGTTAGGGGGTCTTATCTGGGATTCCAAAATAAAAGATTTAAGAAATTCCATGTCTTGTTAGGACCAAGTATGTGGTAAAGATTGTAGCGTGATGATTTTGTACCAGAAGGATTCTTGTGTTCGTCAACCTCAATGTCTGCAAAAAGTTTTTCCAATGAAGAGAACAAAGAATACCCCTCAATTCATCTGGAGGAGGAATGAGCCTGAAAATAGCGCCCTCTGCTTGTGCTGCACATAGCCAAATCAGCTCTATGATGCCCAGAAACATTGAGAAAGGTAATCCCCGTACACTGCCAGATGGAATGGCCAGTGCAACTAGTGTTAAGTTATCAGTCTTTTGATTGGATGAGATATTTATTTTACTCAGTTTTTAGGGCCCTGAAAGCTTCCTTTGCACTTACCAGTTCAAATTCCTACACTACCACATGTTAAAAATAGTCAAGAAAACAGTGATTTATTTTAGCTTCTAAAGTTACATAGTGGCACTGGTAAATGAACCTACTTCAAAATCTTTTAATTTAGACCCTAGCTCATAAAATGTTTTCAACCAAAAAGGATTGGGTTTTATGCATGGGGTACTACATGTAGTCTGGGGGGTGCTTTCCCACAAGTGGGGGGGAATAAATACTTTTTTCTGTGTCCTTGGAGTGAGGGTGGGATCCACGTATATACTTACCTGTTTGGCTGTCTGCATAATGCGAAGGAGCCCCATGTTGCAGCACAGAAGATTTTTCATCGTTGGATGTTAAGGTTAGTTTTCTTTCATTGGTCCTTCTCTAACTTGGACTAAAGTGTGTAATGTAGAAATACATAGGTGTCCATGTTATTTTAACACAGAAATCTGGGACTTATCAGAATATTAAGTGTTCTGTGACAGCTAATAAAAAATCCAGAATTGCCTAATTATAGCACTTAATAAAGTGTTAACTAAGATGAACTAGACAGCAGAACTTTGGATGAGTGTTTACCATCACTATCAGAAAATACACAACAGTACTAAATCCTAAAAAGTCGATGGATTTTTTTTTTTTTTTTTAAATAGAAAGTCTTTGCTATCTTGTCCAGACTGGCCTCTATCTCATGGCCTCCTACCTTAGTGTTGCTTGGAATGCAGGTGCACTCCACTGCTTACTTTATTGGAATTCTTAATGATTTGTGCCCATTTTTACTTGCTTTCTGAAAAAGTTCTGATATAATTTTTTTCTGGTACGGAGTGCTCCTGCTCTTGGGGAACCATATGTTTGCCTATTGGTGAAATGATAGATCTAAGGGTAATTTTTCTGCAAGTGGGCACGAGATTGTTTATTAAGAGCAGTAAAATTTTTTGCCTCTTTGCCAACTGGGTACCATCTGTTGTGGTTCTGAAACTTCCCTTGGTTGGCTAGTTCATATTTGAACCAGTTAATAATTCTACTATGTTAAGTGACTTACTGTTGTCAAACAGTCTGTCGAGGACATAAGGTTAAACAGGCTAAGACTTAACGCTGGTAGTATAGCTAAGATTTCTTACCAGTTTTTCATAAATACTTGTGAAATATTTTGGCTCCTAAAGAGGAATATTGCTGCCCTATCCTGTTTTAATCATTGTGCATCTGCCCCTCCAATGTATTTAAAGGATACTACAGTACACGCTGCTTTGCTACAGAATTGCCAATATACACTGTTGGAGAACTACTATCCTGAAGTAGGGTAAATAACTTTAAAAAGTTAATACTCTACTTTCTAGCTTCATTGATATTTCAAATTGGATTTAAACCCAATTGACAGCTAAACTAGGCAAATGGAGTATTCTGGAGTAGGATTATAATGAGTTTTCCATTTTTGACTCCTGTGTGTATGGAAACAATGGAATACTTTCAAATACAGTTGCATGGGTTTAGCTTTTAGAAATAACTTGTATAGAAGTGTCTTCTGAAGTTTAAATCCAGTGTGTTTAGCAGTACATTGTTTTACTAGTAATAAAACCAAAAGGGCTTACTTTCAGGAGATGCATGTTCATACTCATTTGTACATAGTGATTGTCTAGTCATACTACCTTTCTAGGTGCACTGTCCTTCATTTACATTTAACTAATCCATCTAGCTAGTAGGCATTTTTATTTCCATCCTGTGCAATAAATTTGCTCAATAAGATGAAAGATTTGCCTGTTTTTTGTTTTTGTTTCTCCTTTAGTACTAGAGATTGAACCCAGGATAGCTTTACCACTGAGGTACATCCCCGACCTTTTAAAAAAATTTACTTTGCGACAATCTTGCTAAGAAATTTAGGCTGGCCTCAAACTTGTGATCTTCCTGTCTTAGCCTCCCAAGCTTCTGGGATTACAGGCATATGCCACCATGCTCATATTGGCACCTGGTTTTGAAATGGTAAACTACTAATAGGATCATTCATAGTCCCTATTGTAAGTTTCATTACCATATGTCAGTTTTGTGTGGGATATTTAGTCTTGTAATTTGAGAAACTGATAATGGATACACATCAAACTTGGTTACCTATACTTTGTCAAATGTGTTATCAACATTTGTGTTACTAATGTAAAGTCTTAAATTTAGCCAACTACATTCTACAGATTATACAAAGAACTCTCTAATTTCTCAGTTGCCACATTAGGGAGGACATTGTTTGCAAATTTCTAATACTTAAAAATCACAATGTATTAGGTTTCTTCTCTTCCATGGTCTTTTTTGTTGTTGTTTCTTTATCCTGGAGTTTTTTTTTTTTTTTTTTTTTTTTTTTTAAATATTTGTTTTTTGGGTGGACACAATATTCTTTATTTTATTTTTATGTGGTGCTGAGAATTGAACCCAGGGCCTCATGCATGCTAGGTGAGCACGCTACCACTTGAGCCACATCCCCAACCCAATCCTGGAGTTTTAACACAGGCCCTCTATTACTGAGCTATACCACCAACCCTTTTTCTTTTATTCTTTTGGTACTAGGGATTGAACTCAGGGGCATATTACCACTGAACTACTTCCTCATCCCTTTTTATTTTTATTTTGAGACGGGGTCTCACTAAGTTGCTGAAGCTGGCCTTGAGTTTGCAATACTGCCTCTGCCTTCAGAGATGCTGAAAATACAGGCATGTCACCACTAGCTATTAAAGGCTTTTGAACTAAATTATTCAATGTAAATGTATTTTCATAATTTATGTACCTGTATGCTTTTTAAATTTTTTGGGGGAGGGGGTTATTATTCTTTTGAATTTTTGGTAATGTTAGGTAGAATTTCACTACCAGTCATATTTTTAACATGTCTAAATCTCAAACTTGGTTCTACATTTTGAAGAAAATACGCATTACCATGAATCGTCGAAATGGGATTGTTCTTCATCCTGCATTGCCTCCATTGGCAATATTGAAAACAAAAAATTTATCGATAAATGTATTTGTTGAACAATATATTAAAAAATATGTTGAACAGTCAACATTTAAATGTAGAGGTATATATGCTTTGGGTCCTTTAGCTTCAAGATTTCGTAACAGCATTTGGTTTATTACTATTGTGATTCGGAAGTAATTTTTCACCAACTGTAGCCCATCATTAGTAGTATGTGTTTTTCCTGTCATAAATGTACATTTCAAGTTCGGAGCTCCTTTGGAGTAATGAGCCGGAAATTTTGTACTCAATTTGCCCATATAGCAGTGTTATTTAACTGGAGATAGTCTAAAATTGGGAATCCAAGTTTGGTTCTAGTTAATGGGAATCTTCATACAAACTTTTTTGGTTCTCATATTGTGTGTCGGGGCCATTTGTTAATTCCAATTGATAATAGGGAACTAAAATGATGTGCAGTTTTCGTAAGTTGCTGAATATTGGTCTTTTCCAGATTTGTCTTTGAATTCTTTTTTTTTTTTTTTTAAAGAGAGAGAGAGAGAAAAAGAATCTTTTTTAATATTTATTTTTTAGTTTTCTGCGGACACAACATCTTTGTTTGTATGTGGTGCTGAGGATTGAACCCTGGCCGCACGCATGCCAGGCAAGCGCACTACCACTTGAGCCACATCCCCAGTCCTGTCTTTGAATTCTGACCACATAGTATACCTAACCAAAAATCCTGTTGTACTCAGTATGTACCATGTAGTATTTTCTTTCTTTTTTTTTTTTTTTAGATGGTTGGAAGTTCATGTGTACTCTGGAAGGTAGTTCCATTAGTAAAACAGTTTAATGGCTGAGTGCTATGAAGCCAGAAATGGATTGAAATTGGTAGAGAACTTTTTAGTTTTTATAGTCTAATTTTTTTTAACTTTTAAAAAAATGCCTCTATTTTGTTTATTTTTATGTCATGCTGAGGATTGAACCCAGTGCCTCACACATGCTAGTCAAGTGCTCTGCCGCTGAGCTATACCGCCCCAGCCCTTATATTGTAATTTTTAACTGTCATTTTTTATTGTTTTAATATGCTATTATATTAAGACAGTTACACGTCTTTAAGTCCTTTTTTTTTTAATATTTATTTATTTATTTTTCGGTGGACACAACATCTTTGTTTGTATGTGGTGCTGAGGATCGAACCCGGGCTGCACGCATGCCAGGCGAGCGCGCTACCACTTGAGCCACATCCCCAGCCCCGTCTTTAAGTCCTTGTAAAAGTAAGAGCCATGTAAATTAACTTAGTAGTATGTTAACTAGTATTGACATGTATAGATTTGTAGTAAGACATTTTTCCTACTTCGTGATGCCCCTGGCACAAGCATTGTATCAGAAATTGGTCCCAAATTTTGTTGTAGAATTTCCACGTGATTCCACTAGTGTGTTAAGTATCCTTTATTATTGGGATTGAACCCAGGGGCGCTTAACCACTAAGTCACATCCCCATCCCTTTTTTAAAAAATATTTATTTTTTAGTTGTAGTTGGGCACAGTACCTTTATTTAACTTGTTTATTTTTGTATGTGGTGCTGAGGATCAAACCAGGGTTTCTCACGTGGGAGGTGAGCGCTCTACTGCTGAGCCACAACCCCAGCCCCCATCCCTTTTTGTATATTACTTAAAGACAGGGTCTCAAGGAGTTGCTTAGGGCCTTGCTAAATTGCTGAGGCTGGCTTTGAACTCACTATTCTCCTACCTTAGCTTCCTAAGCTACTGGGATTATAGGCATGCACCATTGCACCCAGCCCCTGGCCTAGTTTTTAATGGTAACTTTATCTAGTAAGGAAAATTGCTGATTGTACTTTTTTCAAAATTTCTTCATTGTTTTTTTTTTTTTGTTTGTTATTTTTCCATGCGAACTTTAGAAACCGCCTGTGAAGTGTTCATCACAAATATCATTTGTTTTTCAACTGAAACGGAATTGAATTTATATAGGTTAATTTTGAGAGGTATCATTTTACCATCTTCCATATGTTAATGTGGTATGTCTTTTTATTCAAGTCTTTATGTGTTTGTATTTATATTCTACTTATTACCTTCAATATTTCTTAGTTTTTGAACGAAATAGACATCTTAGGAACTACAACTCTGAGATGTAGAAGATGTCATCTGCATAGACTAGGGCTCATTGAAGGCCATTCAGTATGTTTTGAGATTGATGTTACCATTTCTTCTAGAAGTTCCAAGGAATATTTTATAAATAATATTTTATAAATAATATTTTATAAATAAGTTCCTTATTTATAAAAATATTTTATATTCCTGGTTTGGGTAAGTGTACAAGTGTGAGCTAATTTTAGGAAAATTGCATAGTGAGCCATTTGTTTTGGTAATGTCAGCATCCTCTTGACTTTTATCTTTCCATGTAGAAGTACTTCCTTCATCCTGTAGTTTCCTGGAGATTTAGAGCTCATTGTCAATAGGATTTGTAGCACTTGATGATCTTTATATCTTCTAATAGAGAGCTAACTGGTTGTCTTCCTGGAAAGTATTTAGAACTAAGGAGGTAAGAATTCTATTGTGTTTGATGGTTTTATTTCTGTGTTAAGGACAATTCTGATAGGAGTTAAAGGACTTGCATGATACAGAGAGTGATCTGACCTTAAATCCTCTGAGAATCATCATAGGAATTAGTACTGTTTATTTTGTAGGGAAGAACTCAAAAGAGTTAAGTGCTGTGTTTTCAGGTCAGGGATGGTTGGATTTTGCTGCTTTTTCCAGGCAGTTGTAATTAATAGAAAAGTAGATTTAAGAACTGTTTAGCTAGCACAGTGGCATACCTATAATCCCTGCTGAGGCAGGAGGATCTTAAATTCAAGGCCAACCTTAGCAACTTAGTGAGACCTAAGCAACTCAGTGGGAAAAGGGTTGGCGATGTACCAAAGTGGTTACATATCCCTGGGTTCAATCCTTGGTACCAAAAAAAAAAAAAAAGAGATCTATCTAAAGATTCAGAGACTCTGAAGTGATACCTACAAATTTAAGTGACAACTTTTGATCAAATTTGAGGATTTCCTTGTATGGAATTCTGATTTGTATTACACGCACTTGAAGGTCACTTTTTTTTTTCTCTCTGTCTCCTTGTGGTGCTCAGGATGTACCTAGGGACTTATATATGCTGGGCCAGTGCTTTATCAATGATCTGCATCCCCAGCTCTGAAGGTCACTTTTTTTAAATATATATTTTTAGTTGTTGATGGACCTTTATTCTATTCATTTATTTATATGCGGTGTTGAGAATCGAACCCAGGGCCTCACACACGCTAGGCAAGTGCTCTACCACTGAATCACAACCCCAGCCCCTGAAGGTCACTTTTATTGCTAATATTCTTTGAAGTTCTTAGTTGGTAAATGAAGCTGCCTTGCATTGTATGACTGCTTCACCTGCTCCTATTTAAATTACCATCACAATCCCCTTAGGCATCCTAAAAGGTAGAATAAATTTAATAAGGTAGCATGTAATTAATGACATTGCATGTTTTTTTTTTTTTACTTCCCCATATTTCTTAATCTCTGAGAGTAATTCCTACTCTACAGTACTTTATTGTTTGTAAAAACCTTTTATTACATGGTTTTTCTTGGCCCTTACACATATCTGGTGAAATAGGAAGGGTAGAGTCCACCAGTGTATCTAATTTGTAAATGGAAGATAGTCTTGGAGACTACTTGGATTATCTCTGATAAGAGATCAGTGAGATTACTCCTTATAATCTTCATATTTTGGGGGAAGCTTAGTACCAGAGTTTAAATGTGGATATTTTGTATACATTCTTTTGTGTTGGGAGGAGGAACGTTAGACTAGATAATCTTTTGGAATCCAGGGGTGGGAAGTACCTTCCTTGAATCCACCAAGTATTATAAACTTGATGGATTCTAGCTCACTATGTTAGACTGAGGGGCATTTTAGCAAACAATCAAAGGCATTAAATGTTTTAGGGATTTATAGTTCTAGGTAGCAGGTTGTTGGAGAAATTTGGGTCATGAGCTCCTTCTCTTTGGCCTTTTATGCAGTTTCTTTTCCTCCTTCAGGTCCAAGAGTCAGGTGGGAAGATGACCACTGGAGAATGGGTTATGTTACAAGTTTATAATCAGTTTATTATGAATGAGAATGAGGCCTTAGCCCCTGTCCACAGCTATAGAAGTCACTCTTTAGTCATGTGTCTTTGGTATAGGCTCAAAGTCATGATTCTGCTAATTTAGATTTCAAACCTCAAGGATAAATTTTGAAAACCTACTATCCCCATAGATTATTAGGTTTTAATCTGATCACAAATCCCTTTGTAAGAGACAATAAATGGTCTTACTTAGTGATGGGGAACTCCTTGAATCAACTTGTCTTATTTCTGAAACTTTGTAATATTGAGATAAATTTGTTTAATACAGCTTCAACAAGTTTATCATAATTATATTGTACTCCCATTCAAGAATATTGCTTTATTTTCTCCTGCATCTTTAGCTACTCTCCTCTTTGCTGCCTTATGTGCTGCCAGGGACTGTGCTGGGTGATGGGGATATGGAGATTAATTAGTCTCAGTCCCTGTGCTCAAGGAGTTCTCAGTTTAGTGAGAAAGATCATATATACACAGATAATTACAACAGTATGGTATGCTCTACAATGGTGGTATGTATGAGGTACTATGGAATTCAAAAGAAAAACACTTTAATGAGTCCAGAGATGCCAGAAGTCAGAGTAACTGATATCTTAAAAAAAGTAAAGATTGAACCACAGGTGGCACACGCCTGTAATCCCAGCCATTCAGGAGGCTGAGGCAGGAAGATCGCAAGTTCAGGGCCAGCCTTGGCACAATACCCTCTCTAAACAAATAAATAAATGGGACTGAGGATGTAGATGGTAGAGTGCCCCTAATTTCAATACTCAGTACCCAGGGTTGGGGGGTGGGTAGCAAATGTTTCCTCAGCAGAAAACAGGGAAAGGACTTTATATCAAAGTATGAACATTGGAAACAGAATGATGCGTTGGGGGAAACTGCAACTATTTTATGAAATTAGGCTACAAAGTTAGAAATCGATCCTCACATCATGCCATGGGTTTCATTGAGGGTGTTTCTAGAAGGGGATGCTTTTAATGATAACTCTGGTAGAAGTGTGAAGTATGTTCTAGAAGGTGTTGAAATCTGTACAGGGATATGAGTTAAAAGGACACATTAGTGGCTAAGTTGAGAAATAGGAGTTGGGAAACATATATAAGAGGATATAGACATAGATAATAGAATTTATTACAAAATTAGCATGGCAAAGAAAGTAAAGTACAGGGTTTTCTGACTTTGGCAAATGTACACTCCCATTCTCCCCATTCCTGGCCTTGATGAAAAATCCTCTTGTGTTCTTTGGTCCATAGCTTGGTGCACACATTGTACACAATTCTTTTTGGGAAACAACTGTATAACAAACATCGATTCTCAAGGAACCATATGAATAGCAGCAGCCCTTATATAAGTATTACTAAGTTCCTATTATTGTTCATAAGTATCAGACCTACTCTCACTGTCATATGTCTGAAAGTTTTTTTTAATTTTATTTTTTTAGATAAAAATATAGACTTTTGTTTCTAACCCCACTGAAGGAAGAATGATATTATTCGTTATAGGCTCAGTTACTTTACTTAGGGACTTAGAAATTCTTATACCTGCAAGTAGAAAAAACAAAAATACAAATACAACAGTTAAAAATCCAAATATATTAAGGGTTTTTTTTTTTCTTCCCCTCAAAGCAATATAAACATGGTGTTTTTAGGGGCATTTTGTACTTTTAAAGCTTAGGTCATTGCTTATCTTTGTGATTCCGAGAAGCACTTTCTGTGATTAGAATGATTATATTTTATTTTCTAAAATATTTATTTTTTAGTTGTAATTGGACACAATACCTTTATTTTATTTATTTATTTTTATGTGGCACTGAGGAGTGAACCCAGGGCCTCAAATGTACTAGGCGAGCACTCTACCGCTGAGCCACAACTCCAGGCCCTAGAATGATTATATTTTAGTAATATATATATATATATATATATATATAATTTTTTTTTTAACAAGGCCTTATATATATAACCTGCCATACTCTGGGCAATACGGAATGCAGAGTTAGTAATGTAAGCTCTCAGCAGTGAACTTTGTGGAGTGAGAGTCTCGGACTTGGGACTCAGACTTCTTTTGATACTTTACAATGTGGTCTTGAGCATGATTCCTTATCCCTCTAGGAGTTTGTTTCCTTTTATGGAAAATAGGAATAGAATTTCCTTTCAAGGATCTGGAAAAAGGGAGTGAAATGTAAGGAGATTATTTATGGCAATCATTTGAAATAGCTCTGGAATATGCTAAATGACATAGCAACATAGTTGTTGCTGATAATCGTTGACTACCACAAGGACTAAAAGATGATGGTTGACTATTGTTACTTTTTTCTAGTAATTAATGACGTTAGGGTTGAGAAAGAAAGGAAAACTATGATTGTTTTCAGTAGAACACTAGTATGAAGTCACTTCAAATTTTTCTCTCTGCTAGGAAGAGTAGGAAACCAGGTTAAGCCTTGAGTTCATGGTCTAGCCAGTGTAACCTACTGCCTTTGCTCATAGTACCAAATAGAAAGCTGTGGAAAAGTTGTGTTACAACTGAATAAAGGTTATCGTAAAGTGAGAAAAAAAAATTCTTTGGAGCTATTCAAAACTGAGTCTAATTCAACTGCTTACTAGTTATGTGATCTAATAAATGTTACTTAACGTCATTGAACCTCTGTTTCTTCATCCAATGATTAATTTTCAGGGGTTCCATGAAGATACCTGTAAAGTGTATATCATAGGCACTCTATAAGTTATAGCTATTATTGTTAGTTCTTGGGACACTCACCGCGTGACAGAAACAACAGAAGGCCCTGGTGCCTGTGAGGACTTCATGGATCCATCAGCAACCTGGAGTGGTGCTCCTCTGAAGAAATCCTACTCGGATGGATATAATACAACCTGCTAAGTGTCCTAGCACTTATCAGGTTGTATTATCATTGTCCGAGTCTATGGCTCTCGTCTACCAGACTAAATTCCATAAGGGCAAGGACAGTGCCTTATTCATCTTTGTATTCACAGTGCCTAATCCGGTGCACATTGTAGGCCTCATTAAATGTTTGTTGAATGAAAAAATGAATCATCAACAGACATTAATTGGGCGCCTGCTCTGTGATCTCCATGGGCTCAGCTTGTCCCCGCCAGTTGCCTACAACGTCCAAGCTCTTCAAAATGCTTACTCCTGAAGTTTACTCCTGTTTTCTAATTCTTGTGCTGAGGACTTATCTGTGTATTGCAATGATAGGAAATACACTTCATCTCAAGTACCATCTGCAGTTGACTATAATGCCTGCCTTGATTGTGTTTTATAAAAAGAATTCCCAAGCCAGGTCTTACCTCAGTGTGAAAGAGAGTTATAAATAATTAGTGATATTTGCTAAAGGTTGGCTAAAGTGGGGGTGGGACCTCAAGTGTTTCATATGTCATTTGATATTGTATACCTCAATTTTAGTCTTGGCTAATTGCAAATATTGCATGCCTCCTGCTGCTGTTATAATTTTTGCCAATTGCTTATTGGGTTGGACCAGAGAAATCACTGTTTGTGCAGGAGCCTCATCCTCACAGCTTGGGTTCTTTGGTTGGTATTCACAATTTTTCCCTTTCAACTTCCTGGTAGCTATCCACTTACCTGCAGTGGTAGGTAGTTTTCCACTTTCCTCTCTACCCAGTCACCATGCTCATAGTTCCTTTTTCTTATTTAGTGTACTTAATCATTAGTCTTCCATGAGAATCTTCTTTTTGTAGATGTGACAACCAGAATACAAATTAAAGCACCCCTTTCTGTGCCCTACAATGAGTTGTATAGTCACTCTTCTAATATGGGGAAAAAATGCAGTGTACTTTCAAGGCCATGGAGCAGGAAGAGGATGGGAGGGAATCTTTGTAGAAGTGGGAATGAGATGATAACAGGTGAAATAACATCTTCAATGATGATACACGTATTGGTTGAAGAATGAAACCTATGCTTTCTTAGAACATAGGTAGAGGTTTACCCTTAGATTAAAGGAACTACTACTTCACTAGAACATAGGGACAGGAGTAAGGAAGAGAACATGGCTGGTTTTTTAAGATTCATAATTATGAAGATGGATAATGGAAAGGTAGCTAACCAGGATTATGAACATGAAGCTGCTGGAACAGGAAGATGAGTAGTTGGGACTAAAATGAGTAATATCCAGGCCAAAAGGCTGAAGTTGGGCAAAACAACCAGAGCTTATAGTATATTAAAGTGACAAGTCTGTAACCAGATTAGAAACCCAGGAAAATATCAGTGGTTTTGAGCCACTGTCACAAGTAGTGTTTGGTTGCTTTGATTGATTGAGGAATAGATAGCTAGTAAGTGAGGAGCTACATGGGATTGGATTTCATTGCTTTTTGTCTAATTTTTTTGTGGTGCTAGGGATTGAAGGGCTTCACACATGCTAGACAAGTACTCTACCACTGAGCGACATTCCTAGCTCAGAAATGAATTCGAAAAATCTATAATGGGCATAGAAGGAGGTAAGGTCAGGAGTAGATTCAATCTGGGCACAGAAATGAAGGGTTTTAGTATAAAGAAGATGGAGATCTAGCACTTGGGAAAATTGGAATGATAGCACCTATAATCAGATTTTGGAGTGTTAAGATTTCAGAACTGGAGTGATCAAGATAAGATACCAGTGAAATGGATTTCAGGTGTGATTTATGTGAATGTTGAAGTCCCCAAGGTTTATAATGTAAGGAAGGCCTGAAATGTACTCTGGGCCAGGCACAAAAGCCTTCAATGACTACAAATGCTAGTGATGAGAGGTTGTAATGGGATTGTAGCATGAGTCTTAAAGAATAGTGACATTCCAGGTAACATTCCAGGTAATCCCTTTATTAAGTACCCATTCTGTACCTGCCAACTTGTTTTGTGCTATCCGTTTACCTCTTGAATCTGTCCCATTTCACCTGTGTGAGAATGTATAGCAATTCTTGTTAAACACAGTTAGAGAGGTTGCCGGACCTTAATCCTGCTGGAAATCTGTGGCCATCTTCTAATTCTTTGAAAATATAATAGGCTAGTCATTTTGGAGTAGCATAAAATTATATCTTTAGGTAGATTTCTTTCCTTTGACCTCGATTTATGTTCACTATATGTAACATGTTTTTGTTGACCATGTTCTATAAAGTACTTTGGTTTCAGAGCCTCTAAGGTGAAGGGAGAGCTACTGCTGCCCTGTGAAAAGTAAAGTACTTTAAAATATACATTGCACAACTAGAACAAGACATAGTTTTATTAATTATCTAATTCTGCTTTTAGGATGTAGTATAGAGAAAAGAAAGCTCACATCAATAGGTGAGTAGTAACCTGATCACTTAGTTAACGCTATTCTAGGTCAGGTTATATCCAGGTTATATCCGGTTTAGTGGCTTATGGTGTAGAGTTTTTCCATGATGTTCAGAAAGAGAACGGGAAATTGAAGCATAGAGATATCCTTATGGAATTAGAAGGTAAAGCAAAGGAGAAGAGAGATTGTGAACCTTTAACATGGCAAGTAGATTTTTCTTTTATGATTCAGTTTATTTGGGATATGATAAATGGCTTTTGTTAGCACAGGTCTGAACACCAAGTTTGAGGCTGAATTTGTTAGTGTTTCGGTGGGGAAGGTTCTTGTTAATCATTCTGTACCCATTCCCCACCTGATGTCAGGGTGGTCATTGGAGAAGTTATAGACAAGGACAGCATCTCCATGAACCCCAGCCCCATGATTTACTCCTTATGTTTCAACAAGTCATAAAATTACTGGATGGCCTTCTCTACTTCAATTTCTGGTTATGACTTGTTCAGATATTAGCATTTTTTTTTAGGACACATGTAAGGAAAGAAATTTTATGGAGTAATCGCTTTCCTCTGTTATGGATGAATGGTATAGGACATAGAAGGGAAAGTGTGATCAATCCCTAGAACACCCTTGATCACACCTTATGGTGCCTTACCCTGGGTCTGTCTAATTTCTTTATGGAGTCTTAGTGAAAATTTTGCTGTCACTAACCTCTGTCCATTTTTCTTCCCCCATCCTGATGAATTTCAGCAGGTCTCTCTTACTTTCCTTCTCCCTAGGCCATATCAGCTCCATTCTCTTTCTGGGAGGAGCTTTATTGTCAACTAGTGAATATAAAGAGAGAGGCAATGAGGACAGAAGAAGGCGAGGGAGGCTTTGGAATACCATGGTAGAGGAACAAATGCTTTGCCTTTTTTAGTGGTTAATGGACTATTAAGTTTGTATGGATGAAGGAAGGAAACCTGCAATCTCTGATATTGTGAGTGAATTTAGGAGTGAATTCCTTATTGCCCTTATGAATGGAGACAGGAAAGGTGAAAAGTGAGAGATGACATAATATGCTTTGCTTCAATGGAGTAGGCAATGAGACTTACTTCAAAATTGGAAATTAAATTGGAGATCTAATTCAATTGGATTGGAGAGTTGTTGTTCTTCCTTATCTCTGTTGAATAGAGATTTTTGTTAACCCAATTGAGAACCCACCCACAACAAATTTTGCAACCTAGAATTCTCTGTGGCAGGGTGTTAAAGGTACCTAGGACATAGTTCAGGAACAGTGGGCAGAATGGCTCAACGCAGTCCAAAACACAGTTATCTGGCAGAAGGAAAAAATATTGTCAATGAAAGTTCAGTCCTTAGAACTATTTGTCATTCCCCAAGGCATATTGGAGTATCTATGTTTTATATCTTATCTTTTAAGAAAAAACTGCTTCCAAGAAGGACTATAAAAGATTCTTTCATGGAAGAGAGAAGAGGGAAAACTACCAATTAAATAAGATTATAGCTTTTCAAGATTTTTTTTTTTTAAAGATTTCCTATGTGGGTCATGGAGATGTATTTCAGTATCACTTGTGGCTTACTAGTGCAGTTTAACTTTAACTTTTATGGTCTTGGAGTGATTCAGACACCTGCTCACTTTGTCAGGTATTTGTTAGTAGACTCAGGTACTTAAAGGAACAAGTTGACAACCTCCCAGTGGACAAGAGTCTGGCCTTTTGAGTGAAGTAGCAACTTTAAAAAAAATCATGGGATTGGCTAGATTGGGCTAGTCTTTTTTAAAATTTTAAGTAAAAAACTTTTTTCTTTGATAATAAAAGTAACGGATAGTCATCATTTAAATGATACAGTGAAAAGTATACATTAAAAAGTAAAGAACATGTATAAATTTATTAGCCATAAAACAATAATTTGTAACATTTGGGTTTATTTCCCTTAAAGTCTCAAAAACTAAGTGTATTTAATATAATTTTATAACAACTGACATTGTATATGTTTTTTCCATTTGAAAATTGACAAGCATATTTCCATGTCATTATTGTTGTTTGAGAAACAAAACATTAAGTGCTAAATAGTATATGGCTCTAACAAATTTTATTTTGATGATACCAGGTTGCTGCACATTTTGGATATTGCAAATATTGCTTATAAAATTTAAATGTAATGAATATCATTGTAAATTAATGTTTCTATGTATCTCTTTAAAATAAATTTCTAAAAAATTGGTATTATTTGGTTTGAATGATGAGAACAGTATTAGAACATCAATTCAAAGATGATGTTTAAATTGTTCTCAGTAAAGTTGTAGGGATTATATTCCTACCAGTCATGTACAAATGTGAATATTTCTTTACACATTCATCAAAGCATGGTTTTTCTATTTGTAAATCTCTACTCATTTGATAGATAAAAATGTACTTTTGTTGTCTTTAAAGTTTTATTTCTAATTTATGCACAGTAAACAACTCTCTGTATGTCATATAGTTCTATGGATTTTGACAAATGCATGTAGTCATGTATATTCCAATCCATTCAGTTTATCAATCCAATTATTCCAATCCAATTCAGTTATCAATTTAATAATTTTTATATTTGATCCATTTCTACCCCACAAATCTGGACACCATTGATTTGTTTCCATCCCCATGGTTTTGCCTTCATCAGAAGGTCATATAAATGGAATCATGCAATATGTGGACTTTTTGTCTGGCTTCTTATTCACTTAGTAAAATGCATTTAAGCATCACTCATGTTGTTATGTGTTTCATTGGATCATTTATTTGTATTCCTGAGTCATTTCATTGTATGGATGGACCAGCTCCTTATCCTTTCACTAACCAATGGACACTTGAGATAGTTCTAGTTTTGATGATTATGAATAAGTTTGCGATCAACTTTTAGGTACGAATTTTGTGTGAACAAAAATGTTCATTTCTGTAGGTTAAATGTGTAGGAATAGAAATGAGTATCAAACTATTTCCTAAATTGTTTTTATCAGTTTGCATGTTCACCACAAAAATACAAGCGTTCCAATGGCTCCACATCATTAGCATTACTTGGTATTTTATATATATGTGTGTGTGTGTGTGTGTATAATCATATATATATGTATATATATGATTTTTAGCTATCATGATTGAGTTTGCAGTTCTCTGAGGACATGTGGTGGTGTGTATGTTTTCATATGATTATCTGACACATCTGAATCTTTTATTTTTTTTTTTCCTCTTGAGACAGTATTTCCCTTTGTTGCCTAGATTGCTCTCAAACTGACAATCTTCTTGCTTCAGCAGCCCAAATAACTGGGATAGCAGGAATGCGCCACCACACCTGGCTTGTAAATCTCTTGAACACTTATTTTTCAAATCTTTTGTGCCACTTTTTACTGGGCTTTTCCTTTTCTTACTGTTTTTTATATATTCTTTGTATAATTCCTTTAAGATACATTATGTTGAAAAATGTTCTCCCAGTTTGTACCTCATTTCATTCTTTTAACACTACCTTTTTCAGAGCAAAGGTTTTCAATTTTGATGAAGTCCACTTTTTCACTTATTAACATTGTAGATTATGCCTTCTGTGTGACATGTAAGAATTCTTGTCTACTCTTTGTCATGAAGATTGTCACATCTTTTCATGTATTCATCTAGTAATGTTATAGTTTTACACTTATATTTAATATCTGACCCTTTAAAAGATACATAATTTTATTGACATCACATGGTTCATGAATTTTTTAAAAAAATGTTTATGGTTTAGTTGTAGTTGTCAGTACTTTATTTTTTAAGTGGTGCTGAGGATCGAGCTCAGGGCCTCGCATGTGCAAGGTGAGCTCTCTACCGCTAAGCCACAACCTCAGTCGGGTTCATGCATATTTTAATTTCAACTTACACTGTCCTAAATTATGAAGTGATTAAAATTACATCCAATTATAATATGTAGATAAAAATATAAAAAATGTTATTAACTGATCTGGAGGAACCTACTCAATGACACGGAACAAGAAAAAGAAATCATGAAAAATTATGAACAATCATAGATATGTTAGTTTTAAAAAGCCTTCTATAGAACTACAGTTTTCAGCTGTAATCACAAAATGATTACCGAGGTATGTTGAATTACTGACATTCATTATATGGCAGAAAATTTCTACATAAAATCCATTATGGCCATTCATAAAGAGCATTGATGTGACAGCTTGAATAAATATCTATTAATTATATTAACATTGTAATAGCTAAACCTAGATGTCTTCAGAAATGTGCATGGATTTGCTAGAGACCCCCAAGAACAATATCAAGAGCTATTAGGTCATTATACCCTCACAGGGAAAGGGGAATGTACTGGGAGATGTACTGGGAGATCGAGGGAAAGAAGGAGCCTTAAAGAATTTGAAAGCATGATAAACAGGGCAGGACATGTCTATGATAAGAAGAGAAATAAACCTAGTTTTCTGAAAAACAGTTTCAACTACCGTAAGTGTGGCTTCTTTCTTGATATTTGGACTTCTCATCTGTGTCCTCTGCTTCATTATCTAACATCTTGGTGTTGTATAGTTTTGGTTGTAGAGGTCCTTTACTTCCTTCATTAGGCTAATTCCCAAGTATTTTATATTGGTGGTTTATTATGAATGGGATAGTTCTCCTAATTTCTTTTTCAGAAGATTCATTATTGGAGAATAACAAAGTGATTGATTTTATATGTTGATATGTATGCTTTAATATTTTCATCTAAGCCCGGCAGCCAGCTGCATTTGTGCATGCCTGAAATCCCCAAATACAAGATCAACATACAAATTTATTAGCTCTAGAAGTGTTCTGGTGGAAATTTTTATCTTCATAGCCAATAGGTAATTTGACTTCCCATTTGTGTCCTTTAATTTCTTTTTCTTGTCTGATTACTCTGCCTAGAGTTTCAAGTTGAAAAGGGGTAGTGAAAATACACATTTTTAATTGCTGATTATAGAGGAAATACTTACAGTTTTTCTCCATTCAGTATGATGTTGACCTTGGGTTTGTCATTTATAATCTTTTCCATGTTGGCAAATTCCTTATATCCCTATTTTCTCTAGTTTTTTTAAGTATGAATGGGTACTGAATGCTTTTTCTGCATCTATTGAGATAAACGTGTTTCTTTTCGTTAACTTATATATTATATGATAAATTACATTTATTGATTTGCATATGTTGAATGAATCTTGTATCCCTAGGGTGAAACACACTTGATTATGGTGCACTATCTAAATGCAGTTTGCTAATATTAAGAATTTTTGCATCAAAGCTGGGTGCATTGGCATATGCCTATAATTTCAGTGACTCAGGAGCCTGAGGCAAGGAGGATCAAGAATTCAAAGCCAGGGGCTGGGGATGTGGCTCAAGCGGTAGCACGCTCGCCTGGCATGCGTGCGGCCCGGGTTCGATCCTCAGCACCACATACAAACAAAGATGTTATGTCTGCCAATAACTAAAAAATAAAATATTAAAAAAAAATTCAAAGCCAGTCTCTCTAATTTAGTTAGACCCTGTCTCAAAAAAAAAAAAAAAAAAAAAAAGTAAAGAATAAAAAAATAGAAGGGTTGGGGACATGTCTCAGTGGTTAAGTGGCCCTAGGTTTGATCCCCAGTACAGGGGAAGTCAAAACAGAATTTTTGCATCTATGTTCATCAGGGATATTGCCCTGAAATTTTCTGTCCTTGATGTGTCTTTGGTTCTTTAATCAAGATTAAACTGATTTACTAGAATGAATTTTGTAGTGTTCCCACCAATTACATTTTGTGGAATAATTTGAAAAGGATTGGTATTCATTCTTTAAAGATTTGGTAGACCTATGCTATGAATCCATCTGGTCCCTGGGTTTTCTTTGTTGGAAAGCTTAATAACTGCATCAATTTCATTACTTCATTTTGATTTATTTAAGGTTTTTTCTTTCTTTCTTGGGTTCTTTCTTTCTTTTTTTTTTTTTGTGGTACTGGGGATGGAACCCATGGCCTTATTCATGTGAGGAAAGCACTCTACCAACTGAGCTACATCCCCAGCCCTGTTTAAGGTTTCTTTATCTTCATATTTCAATTTGGGTAGGTCGTATATCTCTAGGAATTTGTTGGTACTTCAATATTGCTAGCTTATTGGTGTATAAATTTTCAAAATAGTTTCTCATATTCCTCTGGATTTCAGTAGTATCTTTGATATTTCCTTTTCCATCTCTAACTTTGTTAATTTGGGTCTTCTTTTTCTTTTGATTAGTTTCAAAAAACTAATTCCTAGTTTTGTTAATATTTTTTATTTTTTTATTCTCAGTTTATTGATTTTGGCTCTGATTTTAATTATTTTCTGTCTTCTACCATTTTAGTATTAGTTTGTTCTTCTTTTACTAGGTTGAAGTGTAATGTTAAATTATTTGGGATCTTTCTATTTTTTCCTAGTGTAGGAAGTCTGTAATATGCTTTATATTGTCTCAGAGATATATCACTGTATCCCCTGCTTTTTCCTGCTATGCATTTATCATTCAAAAGTATATTATTTAGGGCTGGGGTTGTGGCTCAGTTGTGAGCTCTTGCCTATTATGTATGAGGCACTGGGTTTGATTCTCAGGTCCATTTACAACTAAGAAATACTTTTAAAAAAGCATATTATTTAATCTCCAGGTTTTAGAGTAGTTTGTTTTTTTTCTATCTTATTATTGATGTCTAATTTCATTTAATTATGATCTGATAAGATGCAAGAAATTATCTCTATATTTTATATTTGCTAAGATTTGCTTTGTGCCCTATAATGTGATGTATTTTATAGAATGTTTCATGTGCTGCTATGAAGAAAGAGTATTCTGTTGTCAATGGTTGAAATATTATATAGATGTCTGTTAGGTATATTTGATTAACAGTATTTTTTTGTTGTTGTTCTGAAGAATCTTTAGTTTGCTTATGTCTAGATGACTGATCTAGTGGTGGTTCTTTAACACAATCTCTCTCTCTTCATTGAAATGTTCTCTTACTTTCTGTATGTTCTAATTTTAATCCTCTATCTTGTTTTAACTTGTTGAACATTTAAACTCTGAGCTTTCTGAATTCTTTCTCTGACATTTCCTACTCTGTGGTGTTTATGGAGTCAGTTGTTGTGGCCTGTATTGGATGGTTTGTTCTCTTGCTTTTTCCATATTGTTTATATGTCTATCCATGTATTGGGATGTTTATCACTTCTTTTATCCAGGGGGCTATTTTTCTGAGCTTTTTTCTTTAAGAGGCATGGACTGGGTGAATATTTAGGTATTGATAATTTAATTCAGTGTGTGGCCTCCTTTGAGAGAAGCTACTGAACCCTATTTAGTACAATCACTTCAGAGCAAAGCCATGTACTATTCAACCTTATGAAAAATGAAAAACTTGTTGATACTCTTTTCCACAGTTCCTTTAATTCCAGGACATAACTATAGTAAAGTTTTGGAATAAGTAGGTTCAAAAATTAATTATTAAATATAATAAAATTGCTATAACGTTATAGGGCTCAAAGGCGTAAGAGAGAAAAACTTCGTCAAAAGAGAGAAAATAAAGGAGGAAAGCTAGAAAGAATAATACAAACCAAGGTAAAAAGAAGAAAAAGATGAATGGGTGGATTTCAGGAAGTAGCAGATAATTTAAGAGTAAAAAGAGGGGATAAGAGCAGAAAGTATAGATCATTCTGCTTGATCAGAATGATTCCAATCAATGCTTTAAAATTTTAGAAGAGAGCTGGGGTTGTGGCTCAGCGCTCGCCT